AAAAAAATTTGATGCAGCAAATGTTAACGCTATTTTTGACAGATTTTTTTGTGCTGATTACGAATCCGTAAGCAAAAAGTTACCATCAGCTCCATATTTTAAGAAAACGAGGTCAAATTGTCAAAAAATCGATTTGCAATATTTGAGAAGCTCTAGCAAAGAAACAAAGGGTGGTAGAACCTTCCACTTAGGCTTTGATTAAAGCAAGTTCCCGCACCTTTGCTCGATGGTCACTTAGGGCTGGTTTCTCCTTAACTCTCAACTTAACTTAGTTTAGCCACTTTTGGACTTAAGTCAAAAGTTAGCCTACGTTTTACACAGCTTATTCTTGACTGAGTCGAGAAAATTGGCTTAACTAAGTTGAGTTGGAGTAACCAGCCCTTATAGTCATTTGTTGAACAGGAATAACTGATTTCGGGAAGTTTGAGTTCCTACCGCAATTAAGCAAAAGGTGATAGAACCTTCCACCTAGGCTTAAATTAAAGCTAGAGCTATAGACTACCATCGCTGAAAGTACTATTCCTGCACCTTGGGTCACCTATACTCATTTACTTTTCATCGTCAAAAATTATGTAAAAATCAGTGTTAGCTGTTAAATAAATGACTATAGGTAACCTTAGGGTTAAGGTGCAGGAATGGTATTTTCAGGGATTGAAGTCAGAAGTCGAAGCCTTAATTTAAACCTAAGTGGAAGGTTCTATGTTTTATAGCTAGAGCTTCTCAAATATTGCAAAAAACGCGATTTTTTTACACTTTCACCACATTTTTCTCAAAATCTGGAGCTGATGGAAACATTATACTTACGTATTCTTAATCAGCAAAAAAAAAACCCTCAGCATCAAAATCGGTGTTGCCCTGTGTTACCTACACTAATTATATAAATAGAAGCTCCTTCTTTTTATAAGAGGTGATCTCGCGAACGGCTGTACCGATTTTTTTAAATTTTGGACACCTACTGCAGACTTTGGATATATTAAGGGAGCGTGACATCACCCATGCATACCGAATTTTTCATACCGTATATCTCTGAAAGTATTTGCGGTAATGTCCTGGAAATTTGTATAGAGATTTTGGGACTACTGGAAAAGGGAAGTGGTGCTTTCCAAACATATTGAAACTTTTACCTATCTGTAAATATATACACCCAG